AAAAAGACAGTTTGTGACAGTTAGGGCAGTTGGAGAAATAGAGAGAAGAAGAGACAGAGATATATAGAGGGATTTATAATGTTAAGATAGACAGTTAAGTTAGGAGTAGGACAAGGACTTGGAAAATTGGTGTATTTGAGAACTGAAGGAGTTAAAAATAATAAGAAATAAAACAAACTGTTTAAATATTGTAACACCATGATTAAAGTGAATCTATATAAGTAAACATATCTAAAGTCCAAAGCACGTTTAATGAATGAATAATAAAAGACCATCCATGATTTTCCTTATGTGATTTACCTATTAACCTTAAATAACCATCGTTATATTTGACAGCATTGATCCATTATTCATATTTGGTACAGGGAGGAGAATATCTTCCGGCGGCAGCATAAAAAGGAAGAAAAGAAAAAGTCGTGACCAAAGGCAAACCTGGGTGTTAGGAAAAACAAACAGGGGAGCTGGGGGTGTGCGACACTCAAAACAGCATTCCTTGTGGCTATTACATCTGCCAAGAGAGCCAGTGAGCTTGCTGCCCTTCAAGCTGATCCACCCTTTATTCAGTTTCACCCTGATAAAGTGATTTTATACTATACTTTGATGTTTCCTTTTTACCAAAGATTGTCTCAGATTTTCATATCAACCAACCTATCATATTATTATTATCATTCTTCAAGTCACCATCATCTCCTCTTGAGCACATGCTCCACTGTATTGACTAAGGCGCTCACTAGCATTTTATCTGGACAGAACAAAGAGTTTCAGAACTAACAGGCTCTTTGTATGTTTTCATGGTCCACATAAAGGAGGTCCAGCTTCATCCCAATCCATCTCCAGATGGATAGTCCAGACTATTTCTTTGGTTTATCAGCTATCGGGCAAGTCACCAACATTGGGTTAGGAGCTCACTCCATTAGAGCACTCTCCACCTCGACTGCCTTCCAGCATGGAATGGAGATTCCTGACATCTGCCATGCTGCAACATGGTCCACACCATTGACCTTTGTTAAGCACTACTGGTTTGACGTGAGAGAATGCAATGATGCTGGTTTTGGCAGAGCAATGTTGGCATCCTTCCTACCATGACGTCCCACCTGCCGGTAACTGAAGCTTGCTAGTCACCCATTTGGGTGCATTCACAGAGGCCACGAAGAAGAAAAAGAGGTTACTTACCTATAACCATAGTTCTTCTAGTAGTCCTCCGTGAATTCACACATCCCACCCATCCTCCCCTCGATCCGTCACGGGTTATATTAACTTACTTTCATGCCCAGCGGACAAAAAAATTTAGGAACTGATGGGAATCTTGGGTGGGAGGAGCATGTGCCTTGGGGGGAATCATCCCACTAAATTGTTACTTTTAGCTCTAGAATCTTCCAAGAACATCAGCGCAGGCGCAGAATTTGTGTGAATTCACAGAGGACCACTAGAAGACCACTAGAAGAACTATGGTTACACGTAGGTAACCTCTTTATTATTAAGCATTATGTAAAATTGTATTTTAGATCACACAGCATATTGCATGATTATGGTTCTAATTTTTTGAACTCTCTTCTGGAAACTATAAATAACTTTACATAAATCAGAACAGAAAGAAAAAAGCAAACACATTCCCATTCATATCTCAGTGGAGATAATGACACCAGATTAGAAACCGAACAGGATGATATTGAATGACAAATGGCTGTCCAAAGCCAGAAGAATCATGCAAGCTGCAAGGCTTGCCCTTCACATTTAATTGGAACTGACAAGATAACAATTGTTTTAGTCACCACTTGAAATGGACTGTGGTTGATGGTGGCATGAAAACAAACTCTGCCGCCTGTGTTGTTATGAAGTCATGTTTCTTCTTACTGGAATAGATTTTATTGGTTGTAGTTTTACAAATATAGGGAACCTCTTCCCTCTACAGGTTCCCTAAAGAAGTTGTAGTCGTTTATTTATATAATAATATTCTGCTGTTCATGTTAATACTTTGAAACAAAAAGAGTGCAAAATAAAGTTTTGTTTGTGGACCATTTGTCTTGAAAAAAGCATTCCAATGGATAATATACTAGAGCTGTCTGTTTCATCTTTCAGGTCAGCTCACTTTGAAAGTGTTGGTATTTTAATATATTCGCGAAGGCTTTCACGGCCGGGATCTAATGGTTGTTGTGGGTTTTTCAGGCTCTTTGGCCGTGTTCTGAAGGTTGTTCTTCCCAACGTTTTGCCAGTCTCTGTGGCCGGCACCTTCAGAGGACAGCAGATTGCTGTCCTGGTTTTGAAAGTGTATTCCAAGGCTATGATATAAAAAGGAAGTAGCGTTAGATGAGTTGTGGAAAAAATGTCATGACAAATCAATGTGCAAATGTGCATTAGAACCAGAGAAAAGTGTTGGGAATCTTGCAGTCATTCTCTGGCTGGATGTACTTATGCAAAGTAAGATGGTAAAATGGACTGTAGCAAAGTAGCAAAGCAAGAAGTGGGCTGGACAGAAAGAGGGTGAAAATGACTCTATCAGGTATATCTAACATCAGATAACGTATTTTTATTATACTGAGTAGTGCCATGATATTTATGTTAATGTAATGGTAACGGCTAATAATGCATCTGAGGAAGTATGCTCTGCATAAAATCCACACTGTAATAAATCTGCAAAAACATGGTGACACTTTAAAAAGTAACTTTACTTTTTTTAATGTGAACATTCATGGAGAATAGATCTGTGCTAAATTTGGTGCTGCTCTGAGGCCCAGTTTCATAGCTACAGTATAATTTTGTTTGGAGTATCCATATTTTTTGATGGGCCTTATGGAATGCCTTTTGCTCCTAAAAGCATAATACTGTATATGGCTGCATGGTTGCACAGCCATAATACTCCAACAGAGATGCAACAAGGAGTGTATATTGCAGAATCCCTCTTCTTGTTCCTTGACAAATGTGTACTGACTTGGTCACAGCAGGCTTATTAATGTTGTCTAAGGCAGTGGTCCCCAAGCTTGAGCTTCCAGATGTTCTTGGACTACAACTCCCAGAAGCCTTCACCACCACCTCTGCTGGCCAGAATTTCTGGAAGTTGAAGTCCAAGAACATCTGGAGGCCCAAGGTTGGGGACCTCTGGTGTAAGGCATAAAGTTTAGAATCCATTGTCTTAGAACATAAGAAAAATCTTTTGATTCGGAACACAGGATGTCACAGATCTGGTGTATTCTGTATGGTATTATTCACAGCTCTATACTCTCATATGTGAAATATTGATGTGATTGCACTATTATACGTTAAAGATCAATGTAGATACTTTTTTATTTGAGAAGCATCAGTGGTAACAAAAATACAACCCATAGCTCCAGTTCTACTTATTGTGTTTCTTATTGAATAGATCCAGACCCAACTTTTAAATTGGACAAATGTGAAAGGCAAACCAGTGTGACATTATCAGTGTGAAGTGCTAATGTGTTCCAGTGTGTTCAAATTCAGGATGGGATACACTTTAGAAGTAATGATATAATTATGTTGCACTTTGATTCTCTCCGTAAAGAGTTTCACAGTGTTTGCCAAATCCACATTAGCCTTAAAGCTGCTGAGTGGGATTTGTCATTACTGTGATGTACGTTTTACAGAAAATGAAGTCCAGATAAAGGAAGACAGCAATCTATTCCTGTCTATACTTGCTTGGGAAGAAATTGCATAAGTATAAAATTTAGGATGAACGTTAATTAGATCACACTACATATTGTCATTACTTCTTACATTGTGGATAGAAGACAAGGTACCACAGGGTTCTTCTGTGCCTTCATTATGATATAACAGATGTTGACAGAGGCTTTCTGTTTTGCCACACAGATGCTCTACAAGGCAAAGTTCAACCTCAAAAAATAAAAATAATTTTAAAATCAGCACTCCTAGAATTTAGCTCCAGTATACGTAGGTAGGGCAATAGTTATATAAAGAATTCATTTCCTTCAACACTGAATATTAAACCATGTCTATACATATAAAGGATCATTGGTCACAGTTTCCCAATTGACACTGTCAGTTTCTCACCAAAAACGAGAAAAACAATTCTGTAAATCTCTGAGCTGCTTTTAAACATTACTGAATCCCTTACACATTACTGAATCCCTTTCATCATGGGGAAGCTCTTAGGGGTCATGGGTTGCTGGGGGAGAGCCTTTAATTACTGAAAATCACTGTTGCCAGTAAAGTAATCCCAGTAACAATGTTCAGAAATTAAAGGCTCCCCACCTGGGCCAAATATTTCATAAGGCTAACTAGGTTGAAGCCTAGGGGCCCTGCAGGGACTAGGGGCCTGTCAATTGACCAGGGTCAGTCTGCCGGCGATAGTAGGGTGAGAGATTAAAGTGCTTAAGGGGGGGTTGAAATACCTGAAAGGCTAGGGGGGCAGCCATGGGTTAATACAGCCCTGCTCCCCCCATCACACCAACCTGCAGCTGCCAACAGCTTCCCTGTGACAAAAGGGATTCAGTGGGATCCTTAAGGAGGAATCAGAATTGTTTTTTTTAAGTGATGCAACTGATGATGTCATCAGCCTTATGCAGCACGGCTGTGCAAACAGGAATTTAGCCTATAAATTCTTAACTCCGGTACTTGTCAACTTTCGCATGGGTTAAGGATGGCAGGCGGGATATAAGTGCAATAAATTAATTTATATACCTCCTGTTCAGTGTTAACAAGAAGGTTGTAGAAGCATTGGATATGCTTCAATCAATAATTTGTGGTGTGCTTTGTACATTGATGTCCTGAGATAGTGTAAAATACTCTGTACAATTGCATCATGTCGGGATAAAGAGGAAGCTGGAACAACTGCAGTCCATCTGTCGCCTGTAAACTTTCTAAGGCACTCTTTTATTTGCTAAGGACACCAGCTCTCCTACCTTAATACTGTAAACAACAACAACAAAGCTAGTCTAACTTCTTGATATAAATCCTTAAGCCCTCTCCCTGATCCAGACTGAACAACAGAGCACTGAAATAACAGTATAGCACAATATATTGCTGGAGATTTTATTTATTTTTTAACATTTTTCCCCTCTGGATAAAATTGTGAACAAACTGTGGTGTCCCATGTTGTTTTTCTAACTCATGTTATTAAATTCATGGTGGAAAGTGGATGCAGACCCTAGGATTGCCATGGCTTACGTTTGGCCCTGAGGTTCAGATTTTGAGGTTCATCTTCCATGTCACAGGCTTTGGCTCTGAAATAAGAGGAAATGAAATGCTGTAAACCTGGCCATTCTAGATTTGTGCATTCACAGTTATGGCCTCAACACATGCCCTTTAGACATTCTCAGGGTCACTGTTGTATTTGTCATTACACTGCATGGTATTGAACTGCTGTTGGTACTAGAAACCAAGTCAACCATATTGCTGTTCCTTACCTTGTTTTCTCTGCAAACCTGTAGCGTTCATTTAGATGTTTGGGCTAGAGACTGAAAGGAATCCACTGCTTACAGGCCACCATTTAAAACAGAAATTCTGTCTGCAAATATAAATCCCTTCCTAGCTGTTTCTGAAGAACTCCTTCTATCACACCTTTGGTTTAGAAGGTGCACTTCTAGCAAATACCCCTGCTTTCCCTTGTGTGTCGTAGCATTTAGCTTGCACATCTCTCCCCAAAGAGACAGATCTTTAGTAGCATTAGTTCACTGGCTTTTAAATTCATCATAGTATCTTTGCACTATCTGTCATGCACACAGCATACTACAATTGTTGCTGAAGTCTCCACCCCTTGACTTCACTCAAGGGTCTGACTCAAAGTCACAGATTTTGCCCTTAGTATCTCAGGGAATTGTATGCTGCTGATCTAGTTATCTCAGTAGATAACATGTCTTCATAATGTGGAACCACTGAGACATGAGCCTGGGAAGTTCTCACATAGGGTCACTTTAGCCAGATGGATCAATGATGCAAACAACTCAAAGTTCAGCAGCTCTGGAATTCAGATATTCTGCTGATGACAGTGTACTACTCTATCTCTCTGCCACTTTATCCTGTCATGATCTTTGTAAGGTCAAACCCTTGTTTCTGCTAACTGACTAGTTAATATTATACTTTCTTCTTTTGCCTAGAGCTTACTTGGGGAAGACAGGAAATCCCCTCAAGAGCCGGATCTTAACTGTGTCTAGGTTGAGAGATGGGACAATATAAATACAGGGCACAGTTTTGTGCCTTAATGGCAATAAGTAGTTGATTGATTAAATTTTGTTTTTAAATTTATTTGACAACATTAAGTGGGAGCAAACCTTGATGTTATGTGACCAATGCGTAGCATGATCTCTTAAATGTGTGCAACTTGAAAAGAAAGAAAGAGTACACAGTGTTCAAATAAATAAATGTACAGTATTTTACATCATAGTGTCCCCAATGCCTCCCCCCTTCTCACTTTGTTCAAGGATGTTAATAAGGGAAGTAACAAGAATTCACAAAGTATACAAATTATTAAAGTAATAAACTGTCACCAAATACACACATAATGCCAATATATTAACTGTATAACATTCTTGTCAATCTGCTTATTTGTTTGACACACCCATTGTTCAAATGCCATAAGGCTTAAACACTTGGAAGTTGGCAAACATATTAAGGAGAGTATAAGGGTGTGAACCTCAGAGTTATTTGGTTTTGAAAATTAAGTAATTTAAATCCATTTAAATATTTTAGGCATATTTGAAGTCTGAGATACCATCATCAGTCACTAGGTGGAAGACTTCCCTAATCAGCACCTATGTTTGAAATCAATACAGTCTGAAACCACAAGGGAGTTGTTTGAAAGATAGCTCTAGAAGCAGAACTTCAAATTGTTCTGTTATTCATTACTTTGCAGCAGATGGTGTTTGGAAAAAAAATCCCCAGCACTGTACACTATCAACAATTGCACTGTTACCAGCTCGGGGGGGGGGGGAGGTTCTCTGTTTCCTTCTAGTGGCCAGTTCTGATACTATAACTTGAAAACACTTCCAAAAACAGCAAACCAAAATATTATTTTCTTTTGGACTGATAAGAAAATGGTACACAATTCTGAAAATTTCTGTCAGTGCATATGCCTCTACAAGTAGCTTAAAGTAACTCTTCTAAATAACTAGAAAACACTAGTCATTATACAAAAGAATAACCTTATTACTCATTAATTTGCTTTTGAAATGTAACATATTTACAACATAGCTACCCCTCGGTAACCAGTTACATGTAACCAGATTGATTGTAAGGAATTAGTACCATGCTCTGTTGTAAATGTTTCCATTGCCGTCCACTATGGACAGTCATCATGGGAACAGGATGTGCAGACCCTGCTTCCATGGGGCTGTAGAAGTGCACCCTCACTGGGGCTCTGCCTTAGAGTGCCAGATGCCATAGCTTCACTCCAGTGAGGTGGGAACTGTGTCCATCTTGGGAAGCTGAATTACTTTTCTTGAACCTCTTGGTGTATGAAACTGAATGCTACCAGAACTGTTGTAAATCCAGGTATGTCTCATGCTTGAAAATGTGTTTAAGAGAAAAGAAAGAGTAGCAGTCACATGAAACTGACAGTATTTCCCTGTCTGTTCTTGTGGCAGAGAAAATGTACTATTAATTTGCCTGCTTACAAAGCCTGGTATATGACAACAATTTCACATAAATAGGCAGCAATACATTTTTGAGGTATTTTTAGAAGACAACAGGAATTGGTACGACAGACTGTTCTGGTTGCTTACAAGGATTTGGGCTTTTATCACATCATATGCCATATCCTCAATGTAACACAGTATGAGGAACACACAAGGATTTGATAAAGCCAAAGTAGGTAAAGGCAAACGAGGATGTCAGTACTGTCCAATAATTATTTTGAGCAGACATTAACATACAGATTTGCAGGTTCTGTGAGGGTCTCTTAGCTTGAAAGAAACGGCCATCTGGTAGCAGCCTGATGTTGTTTCTCGGGTCTCTGGGTAAAAAGCTATGAAGGATAGCTTCAATAGCTCCTAGAACATTTCTAAATACTTCTGGAAGTGGTGCCTTTGTTCCTTTGCCATTTAGCATTCTGTGCCAGCTGGCTTTTGGAAGAACACTGAGGAGACATAGCAAACAAATTTTCCTTTGGAAGCAGGCTTAAAAAGGCAAGGTGCTGTGAAAGAGCCTAGAAGAAAACCAGACTATAGAGTTGTGCCTATAACACACAGCAGGGAAGAAAGAGCTAAGAGTGAAGACCCCAAGGGCATCATGTAGCATTTAAGAAATTGTCATGTGCACCCATTGTTTTTATAGGGTACTTAATTCTCCCTTCCTTGTAGGTCTTGTTACTCAGAATAGTTTGCCTCTACCTTGAGCCACTTGTTTGGAACACCAGTATCTCTGAGGAAAAACAAAATAATTGTTGAGTGAGAGACCTGATTCTGACTCTTAACAGAATTGCTCTGGTAAGAAGATTATATAATTGTTATGTTTTGGGGAACAGCAGTGTCCTTCCTTCTATAGAATCATGGCCCTCAAAGGGCTTGTTCAAAACAGACTCTTGTTTACATCAGAGCAAACAGATGGAAATGCTTTTGTTTCTTGCCCAAATGAATCTTTGGTGAAACAAATGTGAAAATGCTCACAACATTCTACAGGAGTGAAAATTGTTTAAAAACTTGAAGATTAAAAGTAGGAGCAATACAGTGGCTGCTATTTATCATAGTAAACTGCACCAATGCAGACCTATTAAATCAGTGTTAGCAACAGTGGCTGAAATCCTGCTGCCTAACATAGTCAATTGTACAGTACTAAAGCAGGCCCATTGAATCAGAGGGGATTTGGTGAGTCAATTCCTCCATAAGTTTCATTGATTCGAATGGGCCTACTTTAGTTTTGACTTACTGTGCTAAAGTAAGTTGGGACTGTAATAAGACCATTTAAAATGGAACTTATGGAGGTGCTGACTCATAAAATTTCCACTGATTCAATGGGTGTATTCTAGTGCAACTTATAATGCTAAGCAACAGGATTTCAGCCATTCTGTCTCTTAACAACAGATTTGGTCTAAGCAACAGGATTTCAGCCATTCTATCTCTAACAACAGATTTGGGTGGTCAAGTGGTTGTTGTTCGGGAAGTGAAACAGGACTATTCAAAAAATAAGGCAGCAGTTTGTAAATTGTCAAAGGACTCCCTGTGTATAAAGATACGTGTATGTTAGTAAATGATGTTACTTAATGGTGGCCCAATAAGGATGTGTGAACTTACAAGAAGATGAACTCTTGAGAGCAATTCATCATAGAACATAGACAAGGGCTGTTGACAGTTGAGGAAAATTGAAGGTCCAAACCTTGAATATGCTATTATATGCAGCCTGGAACTGGAGATTAGGATTGGGGGATTTTTTGTGAATGAGGCAGGGTGATGATGTGATAAAAGCCTTGTCTGAAACTGCTCTAGGTTCCACTTTCTCCTTTCATGAATTTTTGTTACAACCGTTCCCTATTGCACCTGGGGACTAGGATAGTGTATTTGCATAACTATACTTCATACTTACTGAAAATTTGGATCTTTAGAAAAAATACTGTTTTGTATAGCTTATTTTTTTTTCCTTTGGGGGAGTCAACATAGAGGTAGGAGTGCTTTTAGACTAGTGTTGGACTACATGCTACCTCACTTTAAATGAAATCTAGTTATGTAGAAGTCCATCAAGAAATAAAACAAAGCTGCTTCCAAATCAGTGGCTCCTACGGTGACCCAGTCATTGCTATTTCATCATAAACGATAAGCAGAATTTAGAGTAACTTTCTGAACTATCACAAGCATTGCATTTAGTCCAAATTACCTAAGAAACAGTTCAAAAAACCCATCATTTTGGAATAGCTATCACTCATATTGTGACTATATTTATTTCCTTTGTTTGAGGTTATATTCTTTGATATTGCAATGAATTGATACCTTGTTGTACATGAGCATATTTTTTAGAAGCAGGACTGTAAAAAACAAATCTAACAGTGTAATAATTTACATAAATAGAAACAACATGTTTAATAACTTGCTTAATATACTGAAAGAGATTCCCTTCCATTTTCCTTTGCTTTGAGATTTTTGCGGTAACTGCTAAGCTTTGGTTTTCTAATGACTAAAGTTTGTCACGATGAGGTTACAATAAACTATCAATATATTCATCTAGTTGAAAAATTTAGTAGCTATCTTGGCTTGCATTGTGGAGATGAGGTGAAAAATGTCTGAATTATACAAATTAG